TGGGGGTCTGCAGGAGGTTGTTTATGGCACGCAAGTCATGGGCCATTCGATATTTCCCCATGCCGGCTTTTTCCACCAGGAGGATAGGGCCCGTAGGAGGCCCTCTATTGTCTCGACTATCCCTTCCTCTGCCACCGGCTTGTGTGGGTGCTGTCTGAGCCAGAGGGGATCTTCCCTAGGGCGGAACTGGAACTGCACCGGGGGGCAGGAAATTTGGCCTACATCTGTAGGACTGGCGTACCACAGCGACTCTGGCAGGGAAGCCACCAGAGCCTAGGCCTGTGGGTGGTCCATCTGGACTCTGGACTGGCTGCATCAGCCATTGTCCCGAGCCCATATTCCAGGCGCCGCACCGCAGGCAAGTACCTTCCGGCAGGGTAACCACCAGTCCATCTGCAATGCACAGGATTGAAGCCCCCAGCTTCACCAACATATCCTGTCCCAGGAGGTTCAACGGAATCGAGGAAGACACCACGAAAGGGTGGAGAAAGGTCTGTCTCCCCACCGCGACCTTCACCGGCTTAGTCACTGGAAGTCTCTGTTCCTTCCCTGAGAAGCCCACAACGGTCACTGTTGAGGTAGACAGGTAATGTCGTTCAGGGACCACGTTAAGGGTGGAATACGTGGCTCCTGTGTCTACCAGAAACAGCAGTTCTTTGTCCATGACCATGAGGGACAGCATGGGGTCTGCCTCCCCTGTGTCCCGGGCCGCTCGCGGGAACCGTCACTGAGCGGAGGAGGGGTCCCAGTCCCACTCCCCTTCGCCCATCGCCGGATACTGTCCTGCCGTGGGAGCCGCCTGGGGGTTGGGGGCCATCACCTGGTTCCTAGGAGGGCCTCAACCTGCCGCGCACATTGCCTGGGAGCACTGCCAGGCAATCTCTACTCCAGTGTCCTTCTGCCCCGCACCTAAAACAGGCACCTGACGGTGGTCCCCTTTGTGGCGCGCCCCTTCCCCAGCCCCGGCCCCTGTAACCCCGGCCTAAACCGCCTCGGCCCCTTCCCCATTTCTGGCCCCACCCTCCCTGTTGGTAGGTGGGTGGCCCGTTCCAAGGGCTGGGTGGGTATATGGGTGGTCTCTCTGGGGAAACCCCCGCCACCATCTGCTTTCTCTGCCCTTTCTTTTTGGTTTCATTAGCCTTTTGCCTCGCTTCACCCACCTGCAGCTTCAACAACTGTGTCTACAGTTCCTTGAGGTCGCTCTCTTCCTTATTTGCTTCCTCTTTTGTCCTCTGCAAATAATGCACTACGTGCCGGTCCCACACATGTAAGTCCGCTTCTGGGAGGTCTGGGTTGCCCAGTATAGCTGCCATAACTCCCTCTGGGACTCCCTCCATTACGGCCCGCCTAAACCACTCTCGCTGCACCCCTTCCTGCCCTGGATGGCACCCGGTTCGACAGGTCCAATCCTCTTTACATTTATCCAAATATTCTCTAGGGTGAACCTTAGGATCCCATGTAAACTTTGGGATGGCTGCTCCACTAGGGGCGGGGAACATCTCCCGCATGGCGTCACCTAAGCCCATCACCACCGCCATCAGACTCACACTGTCTGCACATGTAGTAGTCCCTGCTCTGTCTTCTACGCCCTGTAGGGAATGTTTAGTCATGCAACGGACTGCCACTGCCCGGAAATCTTCCAGTGCAAGCTTCGTGCCCTGAGCAAGTTGGTCTAACTTATCCATCCACTGTCCTCCTCCCTCGGCCGGGGGAGGCATTTTGTCTGCCAAAGCCTGCATATCTCCTATAGAAAAAGGTTTATACCTTTCCCTTCCTCTGCCTGCTCCCCGAGTTCTTCTATCTGTAAGGCCACCTCTGTCTCATCCTCATCAAGCAGCCCTAATAACTGGCCCAACACCTCTACTTTCTTTTGCGTCCGACCGCTAAGGCCTAGCTCTCTCCCCGGTGAGATGGTTTTATCACATCCACCTCCCCTTATATCCTTTGCTTGTTCCGTGAATTCTCTGTTGCGAAACACTGGCTGCTCTTGTGCCCGTGCACTTTCGCATAAATCTGACATGTCTCCTCTCACTTGACTAGGGCACTCAGATCCTAGGTCCGAGTCCCTTTCTGACTCCTCCTCTGCCTTCTCGGACCAAATATGGTTAATATGGCTATTAATATGGTTAATATGAATATATGAATATGGTTAATATGGCACAAAATATGGCTAATTGCGCCGACACTCTCCTTTCCTTCTCATGCATATCTTCCTCTTTCCTCCACTCCCCTTTCTGCATTATGTTGGCTCTCGCCCTCTGGCGTGCTGCTTCATCCCTCTGACTAGTATGTTCTCTCTCCTTCTTCCACAGTATGTAGCTCCCCCAATGAGCGCCTGTCATCTACTTGGTGTAAACCTCTCCGCACATGCGCTCCCAGGCGTCAGCTACCTTCTTGTCCCTATTTTTCTCCTTGACTGCTTTCTACGGCTGCCTTTACCCACCTGCATCTGTTTGGCTAACGGCTTCCATACCGCATTTTTAGGAGGTACCCATCCCCCGTCATCTATTTCCTGATCAGTCTCGTGATCCATTTCTAGGTTGAATCGGCTGTTTTGGTCTTTTATCTAACAGCCCATTTGCCTCCGAATGTGGGTTCACCCACCCACACTTGGTACACCTCCTTATTTTAGTAGAATGTCCTACTATCAAACACCACCAATACATAAAACAACAACTTCACAAGCATAAGAGCTTTGAGACTGCATTCAAACGTAGCTTGTTGCTGTGTCCCCCCTGAACAGGGCACGCCCCACGAGCTCAATCCCAGCCAAACAGGCCCGCCCTCAGGCCACCCCCCGATCCCCAGTAGTGTTAACTTGGAAGGGGGAGTTCTGTACACACAACTGAGACAACCCAGGTGGGGCTCAGCTTATCGGCCTGAGACCTGACTCGACCAAGGCCGGCAAAATAGCCTTCAGGTGCCACCCACCCTAATGAGAGTCCAAGCCAGGGCCGTTCTCAGAACTGACCCTAGGCGAGGTCCTGCTCAAAAGTTGTAATGACCGCCTGAGGTACCTGTCGGCCCTGCCTTTAATGAGTCAGCGTGTGCGGCCGGGCTGGTGCGCTTTTGGGCATCCAATTGCTGAGAACTCCCCTTCGGTTCTGACAAACTGTAAGACCGCAAGCAGTGACAGCGGAGCCACGGGCAAGTTCAACCAACAGAGAGCGAGTGGTAAGCACCCAAGACAGGAAGAGCTCACAACCTTGATCACACACAAACCAGCACAACTGCACACAAGCTGGTGCTTTGAGACTCCCGGTCTCGGGATTCCAACCCGGTACTTTTGGGATTCTAACCCAGGGACTCCAACCCAGGATTTTGGGATTTTAACCCAGGCTGTCCCATAACAGAAAAGCTGCCCCTCTCAAGCAAGTGGGGAGAATCCACACCAATTCATCATAATAATCACGGCTACAGCGTGACGATGCCTTCAACGCCACTTCCAATTGCCTCACCCAGCAGAGGAAACGTTGGGTCCCGTCAGCAGTAAAGAGAGACTTCGGAGTGATAATCAAACGCACCATAGTTACAGTACCTATTTAAACAGTGCTATTTAAACCTTTGTTTGTTCTGACTCCATGTGAGATTGTTGCCCTGGTTTGCACTTTTGAGTGGTCTCTTTCTGATTGTTTTATTCTGGTGTTTTTGGTCTGTTTCATAATGTGATTCTGAGATTTCACCTGCTGATTTGAATTAGTTGCTCCTGTTTGTTAACTTATCTGACCACCTGAATTTTTACCTGTCTTCCCTTTTGACTTTGGCTTGGATTACCCTAATAAAACCTGCTCCACCATCTTGCAAGTAGTTTTGCCTGCCCCGTCTTGTGACACTTAGTAATATCCATGTCTTGATGCATACAATTTTGAACTTCGAGGACATGTCCAGGACATTGAATACCGAAATTTATTGAAAGATTTGTTTGTGCTACGGGCCGAGGTACTGTTTAGCCAGTGGTATGGAGATAAAATAGAGCGATATGACATGAGCTATTATGAATATAATATCATTATAAATCACTAGAACTACTGCTGTCACTACTATCTCGGTATGTGTACAAATGTTACTTCTGTTATTTCATGCTGTAACTGATATGAAAGGAGCACTGCAAAGACAAGAATTCTGGATTAATTTATCAGTTCAGTCTTTTCTGTTTAGCTTCAAATAGCATCTTTGACGATGGTATTCTATAAAAATGAACACCACTTTTTTTAGAATTTCTGTTCTGGCATCCAATGGCACAACAAGACAATTTTTCCAAGGATCTTGCATTACCTTATACTTGTTTCCACTGTTTTTTCTGCAACCACAATGCACAGACAACTGCAGTAATCATGATAATCCACTACAATTTGGTTTATGCACAGAAGCCTTGGCATAACCAACAGTTCTTAAAGGGGCAGCACCAAATTATTAAAAGAGGGCAGCATTTTACCACTTGGATACATATTGATAAACTTTAAGTATCAGCCAGCAATATCAGCCAAGATTGACACATTGAACTGCTAATTTTAATGAATATTGGCTAATGCCTGTTCACTAATATGTCATGCATCTCTAAGGCTAACATTACTTTACTAATCTAGCTACCTAAGAGTATTGACCATTGATTTCTGCTCTCCTAAACATCGCTGAGAATTCAAAAAGCTCTTATGTTTCTGTTAGATTGTACCACTGCTATTATGTGTGATGGTGTCCTTCATGAGTTTCTATCATCTAAAATTTCTATCTTCAAATTTCAACTCGGATTTAGATTGTCATCTAAACTGTAATTTATATTAATATAAAAAATTTAAGATTCAGTAAACTGACATAGAGTTAATTTATCATGTCAAACACCCAAATTCTCCTTTAGCACATATTCTTCCCAATTCCTAAGTGTCAAAATTTTAAAAGTGATTTATGTTAAGATGGAAACAGCCCCATATATCTAAGTTGCCTGCTTAAACACACAGATGTCAGGTTGCCAGGTTGTGTGAATCTTCCTGTTCTTGTTCCAGAGCGGCTGGTGGTGATAGGTGCAGATGAGCCTGTCTATGCACATGCTGGAGAGGATGTGACTCTCAGCTGCTCTGTGGACACCCATGTTAATGTGACAGAGCTTCAGGTGGAATGGAGAAAGACAGACGATGACGGTGACATCTTGGTGCTTCTGTATGCTGATGGAGAGAACAGACCAGAGTCACAGGATGGGAGATACTCTGGAAGAGCTGAATTCTTCACTGAGGAAATTTCCAAAGGAAACTTCTCAATGAACCTGAGGAAAGTCAGGACTGAAGACAAAGGAGAGTTCAGGTGTGAAGTCTACTCAGATACTGATTCTGCCAGTACAACTACCAGGATAGCAGCACTGGGTGAGTCACTAGAAGGACTAGTTTTAACATGCATCTCAGTATAGTTTTTGGTGATTATATCACATTTTCTTTCCCCTGGGGGTCATTGGTTCTGTTGCAAATGGATCTTTATGGAAATGCCATATGGTTTAATCTGCTCAGTGCATCAGTAGGAACAGTCAAATTTCATTCAATTTAAAGCTGGCCATATACTTCAAATGAATTTGACGGAATCAACATCATTTTCGCAATAAGACGACATATGATGTGTAATTACCATAGTGATCACTGTTTCAGTGCACCGCCTCTGCAGGGCTCCAGGCTGAACTTTTTAATCTGATCCCACCCACTGTTCACAATTGGCTAGTATAAATGTGATACCTTGGGGTTGATTAGTAGGACTAATTATGCAGTTTACCGGCATGCTTTACATCACATCACATGTATCTTTAAATAGTCTAAAATCTAAATTATTATGTTATTTGTGTATTTATGTTGTTAACATCAAAACAGCACTGTAAAACCTCACTAGTTAGTTCAACTCAAGCTGTTTGAGAAAACCGATTGCCTTAAATCATTTAATTTTATGAAATCAAACAATTAAAGTAAAAATATTTTTTGTACTGAGTAAAAGTAACTTAAGTACACTGAACAAAAATATAAACGCAGCACTCTTGTTTTTGCTCCCATTTTTCATGAGCTGAACTCAAACATCGGAAAATGTTTCTACATACACAAAAGACCCATTTCTCTCAAATATTGTTCACAAATCTGTCTAAATCTGTGTTAGTGAGCACTTCTCCTTTGCCAAGATAATCCATCCCACCTCACAGGTGTGGCATATCAAGGTGCTGATCAATATTGCACAGGTGTGCCTTAGAC